GCGTTAAAGAGTAGGAAGTGGAAGAAATCCTAGCCAGCAAGCTCTATCGCGCAACCCTGAAGTATTAGGTTAAGTAGGTAGGCCACAATTAGGACCCTACTTGGTATAACGCCTCTAACTTTATAGGCGCCCCCTACAAGTTAAGAGCGTTCCACGAATAATACCTAAATTAGCTAGGACCTCTAAGAGGTCTAGACAAATAGATTAACACGTGGGAGAAAGGAATAGAAGACATGTTGCAGCTAAAGGATAATAAAGTAAGGGAGAATAAACACAGTTTATTATAACACGCTATCTATAGGTACAAACTAGCTAGTTTTAGACCCTACCTTAGGCCTTACAGTAGGTTTATCTTGTTACCTAAAAATTTATAAGGCACGTTAGACAGCTTGCTGTCTAACTCTGCCCTGACTGCTCCCCCTAAACTACTATTATATCTATTCCCCCTTCTACTACTTAGACAACTACCCTATCCACCTTATTGTCTTTTTCTACCTTAACTCCCTCCTTCTATAAGGCCCTGCAAAGCCTTTGTTAGCTCCACCTAAGCTCCCACCACCTTCTTAACAGCCGCCACTAGATTAGCTATCTGAACCTGAAGGACCTGATTCTCCTCTGCTACCTGATAGTAGTCCGCTAGTAGCACGTCCACCACCGACACGCTCTTGAGCTGGGCAGTCGCTACCTGCACACAGCTCGCCAGCGCGAAGGCGGCAGCCCGGACCCTAGCCTCCGTGATGTGACGGTCATGAATCACGTCGCTGCTGAGCGCGACCTCGTACTGTCTAAGGGCCTGCCAAAAGACAGAGAATTCGCTTTCTACATAAGTAGGAAGCTAGAATCTGTTAATGTATAACTAGGCAATGGCTAGTATTAGATTTGTACTAGAACACACTTCTTGTTTTAAAAAGTGCAGTACGCACACTTCTTAGAGCTTATTAACAAAAACTCAAAGTTAACAAATTAGCTACAAGCAGCAGCCTAGACTAAACAAATATAGATAACTCTGTAAGCCTCTAGAAGCGCCCTAGGTGGTACAGGGATTAGCATGATGTGTTACAACTTGTTAAAGGTCAGACGTATAGCTAAGTCAGTCTAATATACGTACGCAGAGGTGTTCTGTTTGCTTAAGACAAAACAGAAACTGGAAGAACCTCTCTATTAGTATACTTAGTTGTGTCGCCACAACAATAGAATATATAACAACACAAAGTGAAAGTAGGTTCATGTTACCTACTGCTAATTCTTTTTTACTTACTAACTCAGCATACATTCTAGTTCAAACCTGAGTTACAGATATAGGACTATCTGTCTACAAGGAGGGGGGTAGTGTAACAACGCTCTACAAACAGTGACCTAATACTACTAGGATACAGTTCTAGCAACTTATAACCATAGCCCTTGTCGCATAGCATAAGCTTACACTAAACTGCCACTAAACCCTTATATATAAGGAGCAAGGAACTGTAGCATTGTAGAGTAGTTTTTCTGTATCCTTTTGTACAAGACCTATAGGTGTAGAGAATATATCCTGGTGTTCTTATCATCCCAGCACTCCTATATGCCTCGTAGCGGATTCACACCTATTCCGGATATCTCTCTTCTTGCCTGCGTCGTTACAGTCCTTAGTAAACTAGTTAGAGATAAGAACCTTGCCTGCAAGGATAAGGAATAGTAGGATAACCTTCCCTATTAACCTAACGCCTTGTACCAGGGTAACCTACTCATAATTACTAGGTAGGCTGGCGGAATGGGTATACTCCAACGTCCTTCGTGGGTACCCCCCAAAACTTTGTCAATAATTCATGGATTCTAGCGAAATAGGGCTTAAAAGAAAGAGAAAAACTACCTCTATATTTCTATAGTAGAGGGTTTTGTTATAACTATTAAACTACATAAGCTAGAGGCTAGAAAAGGTTAAAAAAGGGGGGGTACCTAGTGAGCATACCTATTAATAGGTATACTTTGCTAGGTAGTGTTAATAACTTAGCTAATACTAGGCAGAATAAGCTAATTCTTTTTTTATTAGAAGGCGCAATACTAGGCGCTTCTATTAAATAATAGATTATGTAAGCGTATCTCTGCTAGTTAAGAAGCTATAAGCCAAAACGTAAAAAAGCATACCCTACCCATCCGCCAGCCTATTGCTAGGTTAGATCTTCTTCTGCTTCCCAGGCTTCTCTAAGCCTGTTACTACTAGCTGCAACAAGATCTTGCCTATTAGGAAGCTAGACTTATTAAAGTTGTACACATCCTTGTCTATAATACCATACTTTGCCTTCATGGACTGAACAAGCGTGAACCAGGGCTAGATAACTGCTGGGTCCTCGCAGGCAGCCCGCTGGCGATCGTATGGGCGGGTCCACCGCTTCTAGAGCTCTGGTGTACGCTTTACCAAGTTGTCAACCCAGTTCTTGCCAACAGGCTTTGCGCTGTGCTCTCTTAGCAGTTTATCTACCATATCTTGTACGTCTGCCTTTGAGGAGGGTAGGCCACGCGCAGATTCCTTAAGTATACGTAGTATAACTGCCTCCTCTTCTAGCTTTGTAAGGCGCTTTGTATTTAGCTTATAGTTGCATTAAGAGCGTGTTCTGTTGTGTTAGTGTTAGATTATTTATTTAGGCACTTTGTAGACTTTCTTAGTGTGTTAGATACTTTGAATTTAGTTTCTTAAGATATTAGATATAGCAAGCTGTATATCAGCTTTAGTATAGAGTGTAGGAGCTTGTTGTGGTTGAGACATTACGCGCTGTTGTTGCGCCGGCGTTCTGGCAGCGAGAGTGCGGCGCTCGGTTGGGTGCGGCGCTCGCTTGTGAAACACGTTAGTGTTAATTGTTTAATGTTATTATAATATTACTAAGGCGTTCGCGGCACTATGCAATAGAAGATTAAATAACAATAGAACCTTACCCCCTATAAAGAGCTAGAGCTTGTTAATTACATAGATTAACTCTGCAGAGAGCACCTTCCACCTACGCGCGATATAGTTCAATATTTCGCCTCTATTATCTGCGGATTTGAGGTTAGGAAGACCTAGGTTACATGCTTTGTCCAGCGGCATCACAAAGCGCTTACTCCACAGTGGACCTCTGCCATAGCCTCCGAACGTCACGCCGCTAATTCCTATAGTAAGTACAGCTTGTACTTTAACATGTTAGAGCTTAAAATAAGTAAGAAGGGTATAGAGCCTAAGCACACATATAATATAGATAAGAAGGGCTTTATAATTAGGAAGATTAGTAAGCAGAAACAAGTGTTTAGCAGGACAAGCTACAGTAATAAGCGCTTCTAGCAGGCCTTAGAGGATGGCAACAGAGAGTGGGTAACGCTTATAGCGTGCGTTGGGGCTTCTGGAGTTGCACTTCCTCCAGGCCTGATTATGGCTGGAGACTCCAGCAACGTCCAAGACGCATGGGTGCGAGATATCAAGCAATTGAAGCATCGCTGCTTCGTCACAGTCACCCCAAGTGGCTAGAGCAACAATGACGCTGGCCTTAGATGGCTACAACAAGTCTTTGACAAAGAAACCAAGGCCTTAGCTTGTTGCAAGTAGTGATTGCTTATTATTAACAGTCACAGCAGCTATATAAGCTGCTTATTTCTAACGTACTGTTATTAATATAAGATACTTGTGGCGATATTTCCTCCCCACAGTACTCACACACTCTAGCCAGCTAACGTTGTCCTCTTTAAGCCACTATTAACAGCGTACTTACAGCAATTAACACAGCAGACTTAGCGCTCTAAAGGCTTGTTGTTAGTGAAGAAAGGTAGCTTCTTCTTATTATTTTAGCCTGCTTGGCTGCAATTATTTACTAAAGACAATATACTTAAAGCCTTTAAGGCAACAGGCCTTTAGCTGCTTAATTGCAATAAAGTACTTAAGCGCTTCCCTAAAGGAGCTGCTACTCTATCCACCCCTCTACCGCCTAAGGCAGGTACAACAGCACGCAAAATAATAAGGAAGTTAGACTCTGTTGTAGGCAATAGGTACTCTAATAAAGCAAGAGCTCTCTACTATAAGGTACACTACCTTGTAATTAAGAATAAGCTGCTTAATAATAATGTACAAGGCCTTATAGAGTTGCTTTTAATTAAGAAGAAGCAGGATAAGAAAAGCAAAGTGCTTACTTTAGTTAAGCTATTATTAGACTACTAGGGTAGCGCAAAGTGGTGGTTGCCTTAATTGTTTAAGGAAGCCCGCCACAGAGAGCAGATTATAAAGGAGACTGCGCATGCAGAGAAGCTTAAAAAGGCTAACATTAAAGAGCTTAAAGCTGCTAATAAGCTATATAACAACAAGATCAAAGAACAGAAGCGCGAGGCGGCTGCTGCGGCGAAGGAAGTGCGTGACCGCAAGTGCGCGGAGGAACGCGTAGCGATC